CGACTCGCACAGCGTGAAGGCGCCGAGCACGAGCATGTTGTGCGGCGTCCTGTGCCTCACGCACTGCAGGCCGAAGAGCGAGACGAAGGAGCCGATCATCGCGGTCCACATCGTCCAGCGTCCCTCCGACTGCACCCACGTGATCAGGTCGGCGCCTCCCTTCATCATCATCGTCGCGACCAGCGCCGTCGTCGTGAGGAGCTGCACTCCGAGAATCGCGTACACCTTGCGCAAGAAGGCCTTTCGCCAAACCATGTCCAGGTCCGCGACGGGCGTCTTGTTGAAGGGCTGCTCCCCCGAGTCCTGGAACTGCGGCGCACGCAGAGGAAGCTCGGGCGGCTGGCGCTCGCGGCGCGAGGTGAACGCGCAGACTCCCAGCAGCGCAAAGACGCCGAGGTAGCAGGCGGCGGTCGCCAGGAGCATGTACTCCATCGTTTGGTCGTTTGAGCCCGAGCCAGCGCCGAGCGACCCGGCGCCGGCAGCGGCGGCCTCCTGGAGGCGGCGGAAGGAGTCGTCCATGGCTGCCATTTTCGGGCGCGGTTGTTGAGGTCCTGATGAGGGCGCGGTTTCTTGAGGTCGGGGGGGGCGGCGAGGGAGAGGGGCAGCGGGGCGTGCCGCGGTGTTCGCGGCGGGAGCGGTGAAGGCGCGCACTCTACTCCGGGCAGCTTTGGTGTGTTCGCGGCAAGGGCGGTGAGCAAGGGGCGCACTGACTCCGGGCGCCTTGTGGGTGGACCTGGACTTGGACTCGTATAAAAGAATTCGCGCACGCACGACACATGCACTCTCGGATGGTCCCTCCCTTGGGTTGTCTGTTTTCTTTCTTTCTTTTTTTTCGGATGGAGTTCGAAATGTGGTCCTTGCGCGAGGGGAGCTCGATAGACTCGAGGGGCCAGGATACGCCGCAAGGAGGACGGAGTTGCGCCGAGAGGCGAAAGAAGCCGCGAGAACAAGGGACCGGCAGGCGGCGGCGTCGCAGGACGAGGCAGAAGAGAACGACGCGACAGAGGGGGAAGTGACAAGGGAGAGAACGAAGAGAGTGGGACAGCCGCGAGGTGGCATGAAGGTTGCAGCGAGAAGCGGCGAGAGACTGCGAAAAGAGATACGAGGAGGCAGACCCCTCAGGGTGGGCGACGGCTAGCGCATCACACCCTCCTCTCCTTAAAATCCCTGTGTGGTGGCGGCGTGCCGTTCTCCCATCCCTCCCTTGGGTTGTGTGTTTTCTTTCTTTCTTTTTTCGGATGGAGTTCGAAGGGTGAAAGAGCTTTCCACTGGTGTGCGACTCGTCAAAGAAACGAATCCAACTGGAGGCACTAGCGACTAGGGACATTGCGCATTGGTCACGGGCGGCCCCACCCCGAGTCCCCGACCCTGCAGGTGCAGCTGCAACCAGGCCGCCGACTTACAAGAAGAAGCCCAAATCACTGTGAGAGTCGTGATTTTCTTGTTGGTTTTCAAAAATCTCCTCTCCGACTGACCCACAAACGCAAAAACACAACAAAGCAAACGCACAACGACTGTAGACGTATAACACATGCGACATGCAATACCCCCCACAGTGTACGAGTGGTGTGAGCAACCATACAAGTACTTCTATAGCAGAGATGCCCCAAGCCTTGGCGGGCGAGGGACGTAAGAATCAAAGCCTCGAGATAGTGAGCGTCCGAGTGCTCCAGGGAGGAGAGGTTCGGACCTACTTGCTGGCCGCCTCTTGGGACCCGGCCGTCGATCCGTACAACAAGAATAGCTTGGCGACGGAGGCTGTGAATGTGCCGGCGTCGGATGGTGCGGTGACGCAGGTAGACCTGCTCCTGACGCCGGATGGAGAGGACGCCGGCTTGCCCGACAGCCCACTGGTGCTCCACACTTGGCCTGGGAGCTGATCCTGCTACGGCTTTATCTGCAGCCCGCCGTGAACCGCGTGAGGCGCTCCGTCGTCCGTGAGCGTGACTCCTTTCCACGGGACTCGGGAGCCTCAGCCCCTGCGAGGCCGTGGCCCCCATGTGCTGCAGCGCGGAACAGAAAAAGTGAATTGAGCCGAGCGACGAGTACTGACGTATGTGATGCGTAACACACCGGCTACCCCAGAGAGCGGGACGTGATAGTTAACACCGGCTACTGTGCCCCAGAGCGGGACGTGATAGTAACGTACGTCGAGTCACCCAAAAGCTCGACGGAGCATGCCCCGGGGAGCCCGGTCCAATGAGAGGTTATGTGTACTCGGTCAGAGGAGCGAACACCCATTTCATGGGACCCGTCCTGGGCGGGCGGAAATAAAGCCAAGCCAAAACTGGGGCACCGCCCCTTTGAAAGTGGGGCTTCCCTCCGCGAACCTTTTTCAATGGAAAAAAGATTTGGTGGCCCGCCCAAAAAATTCCCTTTTGGGGAAATCCAAGAAATTTTTTGCCCCCCC